CAGACAGAATCCGTCTGCAATGCAGGAGACTCAGGTTCAATCCTTGGATCAGGAATATCCCCTGGAGAAAGGAATAGTTACCCACTCCAGTATTCCTGCCTGGAGAATCCCATGCATGGACTGAGGAGCTTGGAGGGCTACAGTCCATGGGGTCGCAAACTGTCAGACACGACCAAGTGAGTAACAACACTCTATTTTATTACTTTTTCAAATTAAACCCCCCCCCCTTTTTTTTGGCTGTGTCACGTGACTTGCAGGATCTTCCCTGACCAGGGATTAAACCCTGGGCCCTTGGCAGTGAGAGCGCAGAGTCCTAACCACTGGGGCCTGCATGCTAAGTTCAGTGGTGTCCACCTCTTTGTGACTGCATGGGCTGTAGCCCACCAGGCTCCTCTGTCCATGGGATTCTCCAAGCAGAAATACTGGGTTGCTGTACCCTCCTTCAGGAGATCTTCCTGACCCAGGGATCAAACCCATGTCTCTTATGTCCCCTGCATTGGCAGGTGGATTCTTTACCACTCGTGGGTAACCTGGGAAACCTGGTGCACGGTAGTTTTACAGAAATGTTTGCTACCATGATTCACATTCATTAAGTCCTGCCTGTGGGCAAAACGGCTCAACAGGTGGAATGTGTGCTGTGCTAAGTCATTTCAGTCGTGTCTGACTCCATGAGACCCCATGGACTGTAGCCCACCAGGCTCTCTGTCCATGGGATTCTCCAGGCAAGAATACTGGAGTGGGTTGCCACGTCCTCCTCTAGGGGATCTTCCTGACCAGGGATCAAACTCACATCTCTTATGTCTCTTGCATTGGCAGGTGGGTTCTTTGCCACTAGTGCCACCTGGGAACTCCAGTAGTGGAAGAGTGATGGTTAATTATCCCTGGGATTGTGAAGATTATTAGGTTCAGTTCAGTTCAGTGGCTCAGTCGTGTCCAGCTCTGCAACCACATGGATGGCCACACGCCAGGCTTCCCTGTCCATCACCAACTCCTGGAGCTTACTCAAACTGTCCATAGAGCTGGTGAGTTATTATTAGGTTGGGGGAGGGGTGATTTCAATGGGCCTCTGTTCTCCTCCACCCCCAGCCTGATTTCCCTCTGCTTGGCTCTGGACCTCTTCATCCTGGCTGTGAGGGTATACCTCCTGCATGCGGATAAGGAAGGAGTCGATGAAGTCCCGTGGGGAGTTGGGGTCCAGTGTGCGCTGGTTTTGTTCCACCTTCTTGGCTATGAAGTCCTCCAGTCCCTGCAGCTCCTTAAAGGCCTGTTGCTGTGGCCCTGGCAGATATTTCATCACTGAGTAGAACATCTCGTAGAGCTGAGGATGGGAAGGGGAGAAGGAGAGGGAAGGACAGCTGTCAGTGTGCAGGACCTGGTGGGAGTGGGCCCTGCCTCAGGACAAGGCAGGTACTGGGTTATAGGCGCCTGCCCAGATATTTACACATTTTGATGAGGCTGGATGGGAATGTGTTTTCACAATGAGTTACATGTGAGGGCCCCTGTCCAAGGATTAAAGTGAGATGGACTGGGACACCATTCAGATATTCAGATGATGTTGGATTGGAGAAACACACCTGGGGTTCATATATTCAGATGAGGTTGGGTTGGGAGACACCTGTCCAGGTGTTTAGCTATTCAGGCAGGACTTGTATGGGGGGTGGTCACCTGCCTAAGTGTTTAGGCATTGGTGTGGTCTCAGTTGGACACAACTGTCCCAATGTTTAGAGGGGTCTGGGTTGGGGTTTCTGTGCAGGTGTTGAGGTACTAAAGTGGGGTTGGGGTGCAGGTGTTAAGGTGGGGAGATACCTGTTCAGGTATTCAGATATTCAAATGGGCCAATGGAAGGCACTTCTGTAGGTGCTGGAAATGAGCTGGATCAGAGGACACTTATTTGGATGTGTGGGGAACAATCTACCTAGGTGTTTATGCATTTAGGGGTCTTGGTTGGGGTACCTGCTACATGTTCAGCTATTTAAGTGAACTGGGGAGGGGGCGCTCTCTGGAGATTCCAGTGGGCTGGTTTTGGGACATCTGTGTGGAGAACCAATGATTTTGGTGGGCTGAATTTTGAAGCACCAGGTGTCCAGGTAGTCAGGAAGTGGGCTGAGGTGACCACTTGCCAGGTGTTAAGAAATTCAGATGGAAAGAAAACATCTTTTTTTTTCTTTTTTTTGCCATGCCAAGCAGCATGTGGGATCTTAGTTCCCCGAACGGGGATTGAACCCATGCCTCCTGCATTGGAAGCGTAGAGTCCGAACCACTGGACCACCAAGACGTCCCCTCCCCTTTTTTCAGATGGAGTGTCTAAAAAGGGACCACTTGTTAAAGACTAAGATAAGCTGGGATGAGGACACCTGTCCTGGTAAGAAAGCTGGGTTGAGGACACGTATCTTTTCTGCAGGGTATTTTTTTTTTTTCTTCTTTCTTCTTCTTTTGTTTTTTTTGGTGGAGGGTGCATCTTTTGAGATATCCAGGTGTCCTTGGAGACTGGGTATTGGGCTTTGGTGCAACTGTTGAGTTGTCCAAGAGTGGTGGTCTGGTTTTGAGGGGGCCCTGTCTGGGGGAGGATGGGAGTTTGGGGCACTTGTCTCGTGTGTGTGTGTGTGTGTGTGTGTGTGTGTGTGTGTGTGTGTGTGTGTTTGGGGGAGGGCATTTGGCAGGTTGCGGTAGGGGCAGGGTAGAGCCAGGTCGACTTGGGTTACCTGCCCGGTAGACGTAGCAGTGAACTGGAAGCTTCCCAGCATCATTCGCAGTAGTGACAGGAACTCTTTGTCCTCGTAGTCAAAGCGGTCCCCGAAGACAATGGAGCTGATAACATTGGAGACTGTTCGGCTCAGGAAGAAGGTGGGATCGACGAAGGCGCCTGGGGGGATGAGAGCGGAGGGAGTTGGGGAGAGACAGGGATTTAGCGGAGAGTCAGCTCAGCTGTCTGATGCCGTCTGAGAAGTGAAGGAGGGCACGGCAGTGCTGAGCTAAACTTCCAGCACCGGAGCCCAGGGTCCAGACCAGCCCCGGGCTCCCTGGCTCACGGGCCCCCTTCCCGGGTGTTTCCCTCCTCCTCCTCGCACACTGCGGGGTCCCCCCGGCTCACCGCGAGTGCCCCGGAAGGCCTCGATGAGGAAGCCCGCCTCCTCCTGGATGCGTTCTTCGATGCCGCGCTTGCCCACGCCGAAGTCCCGCAGCGTCGTAATGGAGAAGCGCCGGAGCTGCCTGGCGCGCTCCCCGTTGCTGAACGCCACCCCTGCGGAGGCAGCGCAGGAGTTGGACGGGGGCAGAGCGAGGCAGGGCCCAGACCAGCCCCGGGCTCCCGGGCTCCCTGGAGGGAGAAGGGGCGGACCGAGAGAGCAAGGGGGGGCGGAAGGGGGCAGAGAGCCAGAGTAGGGTGCTGAGGGGAAGGAGGGGTAGAGGGTGGGCGAGAGCAAGGGGAGAGGGAGGGAACGGGGAGACAGACAGAGACAGACTGAGGCAAACAACGCAGAGTCAGAGAAATGCAGAGACCGAGTGCGAAGAACAGACTCGGAAAGAGTGAGGCGAGACAGATGTGTCAAGAGACACAGAAGCACTCGGGGGAGAGGAGACAGAGGAGGGAAGGAGGGGAAGTAAGATGCATGGCGATCTGGGAGGCAGACATAACCGTGGCAAATTCTAAGGAACTTCCCTGCTGGCTCAGACGGTAAAGAATCTACCTGCAATGCAGGTGACCTGGGTTCCATCCCTGGGTTGGGAAGATCCCTGGAGGAGGAAATGGCAACCCAGTCCAGTATTCTTGCCTGGAGAATCCCATGGACAGAGGAGCCTGGCTGGGTACCGTCCATGGGGTCACAAAGAGTTGGACTAACACAGACACACGCAAAGAGGAGAGAGAAAAATAGGGAGAAAGAAACAGAGAGGCCCTGGGGGGAAATAGAGACTGTTACTAAGAGATGGAGGCATGGAGATTTTGAAGCAGAGATAATGTGAGATTCTAAGATGAAGGAAGAAGAAAGAGAGAGGGCAGGAGAGAGAAACTGGGGGACGCCCAGAAGCTGAAAAGAAGAAAAAGACCAAAAGGCATATGGAGATAGAAGACTGGAGTTCCAAAGCAGAAATCCCAAGAGGCTCTAAGAGACACAGAGAAAGAACAGACATCGAGTGAAAGGGGACAGGGGCAGAGAGAAGCAGGGAGAAACAGAGATGCAGAAACTCTAAGACCAGATAGAGCAGAGGGAGGCAGAAGTGCGCAGGACTGGAGAAGGAATAGCAGAGGCAGTCAGGAGAAAAAAGCTGGGGACCCCGAAGTCTGTCTGACCATGCCCCCTTCCCCTCAGTCTCCCTCACCATAGCCTTTGAAGAGCCAGTCAAAGGTAGCCTGCTCGCCTCGCCCACTGAATTCTTCAGCCTGGTCCACCAGAGCCTCCTTCACAGCATCATAGCCACACAGCACCACGATCTGCCGGGTCCCCAGGTGGATGGTGAACACAGGGCCATAGCGCTCACTGATCTGATAGAGGTGAATGGGAGTTAGTTAGTGGGAGTAGCCCCTTTTCTGAACAGGCCCTGTACCCAGACCTCACATACTGGGATGCATTTCCTCACAGGTTCTGACTATCAAGGAGCTGGACAGCCCAAGATACAGTCTTCCCTGGTTAGGACCCCGATTGTTGTTGTTGAGTCGCTCAGTCATGTCTGACTCTTTGCGACCCTATGGACTGTAGCCTGCCAGGCTCCTATGTCTATGGGATTTCCCATGCAAGAATACTGGTGTGGGTTGCTATTCCCTTCTCTGGGGCATCTTCCCAGTGCAGGGATCAAACCCGAGTCTCCTGTATCGGCAGATGGGTTCTTTACCTTTGGGTCACCAGGGAAGCCCCAGGACCCTGGTATTGGATCTTTAAAATTCCCTTCTTCTTTCCTAAGACTCTTGCCCAACATTGCCCATCCCCTGCCATAAAGCCCCAGATGAACTGGCCAGGCCGCCGCCCCCCCCCCAATCCTGTCCCCCCATCTCTGCCCTATGACACCTTCATGAGGGAGTTGTACATCTGCTCAGTGTTCAGCTGCAGGTAGTTCCCGATGAAGGGCAGAGGAGTGGGCCCTGGAGGCAATTTCCCTTTGAGCTTCCTTTGCCGCCAGACAGACATCAAGACCATGACAGTCAGACAGGCCAGCAAAGCCACGAGGAGCAGCCCTGAGGCCAGCATGGTGGCAACTGGAGTGATGACCTGTTGGTGATGTCTGAGATGGTTGCCTTTATACTACTTGGGAAAGCAGGACAGACTTTGGTCCTGATTATATAACTGTTTTGTTTCACCTCTCATGTCCACTCCCCACTGTGCTCCCTGCCTAGCTTGGGACCCAGCCAACCAGGAAGGAGAGGGGTGGACCTCAGGTCAGGTTCACAAGGAGAGGGCCCCAAGGTGGAATTTGTGGTCTGTGGGGAGAGACTGCCGTAGGGCTGTGGACTTTGGAGGAGACAGTAGATATGTTCCAGAACTGGAGATTTTGGGGAGCCCATGAGCTTTGGACTTGGGATCTCAGAGTGAGAAGGGACCCCCAAAGTTGTGGATTTGGAGGTCTTGGGAAAGTGGAAATCACAGATCTGGATGTAAGGGTATTAGAATGGACAGGATGTGTGGCTGTGGATTTGGGGGCCTTTTGGTGAGGAGGGATGTAGGTTGAAGGGTCTCGTGATGGCGGGGGGAATTCCAGGGAATGGATTCGAGGGTCTTGAGGTGAGAAAGGACCCCTGCTGTGGGTGTGGGGTTCCTGGGAGCAGAGTCCAGCTGGATCCAGACTCAGCATCTGATCTCAGGTGTTGACTTGCTTTTATTTTGTTGTTTTTTTTTTTTTCCAGAAATGCTTTTCCTTTTATTTCAGAGAGAAGGAAAAAGAATCAAACACTTTCCCCACCCACCCCCTTAGCTCCTGCCTCACCCAGAATTGAAGAAGAATGAAGGAGGGACAGGGCCCAGTCTTCTGTAAAGCCTGCCCTCTCCCCAGTCCTCCCTTCCCTCAAAGTAGCAAGGTTAGAAAAAAATTAACTATGTTGTTCCTCCCCGGGCACTGGACAGAGGCCCCACTGCAGCCAAGAAGGAAGGGGAGGGGCAGATGAGGGAAAAGGACTTCCCTCTAGAGACACAGATGTCCCCCTCCCAGGCAGAGAGGCCGCCCTCCCCCAGCTGGCAGCGGAGAGGCCTGGAGGTAGGTTATGGGGCAGGGAGAAGAGAAGAGCCCTGAAAACCTTTTCCCTTTAACCTGACATATTTATATATTTACAATTATAAGGGTGGGGGGAAGTTTGGGGTGACACTGGTTCTTCAAAGGCAGGGAATGAAAGCCAAATAGCACCCCCGACTTGGTCACATTTTCCTGCCTCCTAGCTCCTTAAAACCTTCAGTGGGAAAAGGGGAAACAGGAGGTAGGGGGTGGAGGGAGGGAATGTTTGAGGGTCCTGAGCCCACAGCTCACTGCAGAAAAAGGTGAGGCAGCAGAGCAGGCGCAGCTGGGTCCCACCAAGAGGGAAAGGGCCACCGACGCCCCACCTCTGCACCAGATCCCCACATCTCCACTCGGCCCCGGGGCGGGGGCTATGCCAGACCCATCTCCTCCAGCACACTGCGTGGCGACTCATCCTCCTCCTGCAGTAGGTCTGCCTGCTCGATGGCCTTCAGCACACTCTTCTTGGAGGTGTCCTGGACATCTCCCCCATCAGAAACTCATCCAAGATGAAGTAGGCCTTCTCCAAGTTGAAGATGATGTCCAGCTCACAAACGCTGCCAAAGTATTTGTCCAGGAGCTCCACATATCGGTGGATCAGCTCCAGCGTGATGAGCTCATTGTCTTGGCCCTCGATGGCACAGCAGAAGTAGAGGCTGGCGTATCTCTTGTAGACAACTTTGAGGTCCCTCCACTCCAGAAAGCTGCACATCTTGGGCTTGCGCGCCAGAACCACCTGCATCAGCTCGTGAACCATCTTCTTCCGCTCCTTGTCTGAGGTGGCCAGGTACCATTTCTGCAGCCGCAGCTTCCCCTGCCGGCTGAACAGGAGCATGAACCGCATCATCCTGCAGCCTCCGGCCCTGCGCGTCCCTCTTCGGCCACCCGACTTGCTTTTATTTTGGACATGTTGCTCGCTCTTGATGCCCAGAAGCTTTACCAGAACCTCAAAGCGAGGTCACAGTGGGGGTCATAGAACTGACCATCTATGGTTGGGCAAGAGGTAGAAGACCAGAGCTGTGCATCTGTGGAACTTTCCACAGAACTGGAGAGTAGGAACTCACAATCTCAACCCATAGAGGAACTGGCCAGGGCTTGAGAAGTAGTAATAACCATCAGTCTGATACCAAAAAAAATCCCCAGTGTTTCAAGTGTTAGAATTCACACAGCATCCCACTGGTTCCCTTCCCAGATCCTTATGGAAGTCCACTGTGTTGACTATATCATTTCTATTATTGTTAATGTTTCGGATTTCACATGTGAGTATAATGAGGACAGAAGAGAGAGAGTGGGCAAGAGGCATGCATGTGACCCCTCTCTCTCCTGCTTGGCACTTATTTCCTCTTTATGGAATTAGGTTTCCTCACTTCCCAGAAGGTGCAAGTGGTAAAGAACCCACCTGCCAATGCAGGAGATGTAAGAGATGCAGATTCGACCCCCTGGAGGACATAGCAACCCACTCCAGTATTCTTGCCTGGAGAATCCCATGGACAGAGGAGCCTGGTGGGCTACAGTCTGCAGGGTCCCACAGAGTTGGACACGACTGAAGGGACTTAGCACGCATGCACCAGTGCAAAGGGAGTATTTGGAAGAGAAAGTTGTATTGGAGAGTGTGTGAAGTCCCCTTTAGAGGTGATTCCTGGTGTGTCAGGACTTTTGTTAGCAGGCAGAGGGGACTATGTCAGGAGAAATTTGGGTAAACTCCAGTGTCAGGAACAGAGAGAAGTCCTGGGATTCTGAAGTGGGTGAAGAGAAAAGAGGAGTGGTCCCATGTCCTCCCTTCACTGACATTTTTCCTTCATAATGACACTTAACCCCATCACAGTACCAACTGTGAAGATTACATCCACATCCTCATCATCTTACTGAATCCCGATAACAGCAGGGCTGGTTTATCATTGTCTTCACTTGGCAGTTGAGAAGCTTGGGACCCTATAAAGCCACTTGCTGGAGGTCACACAGGTAGTAGGTGAGGGACCTGGAACTGGAACTCTCTCCTGGTTCTCCTTCCATGGACTGGCCTAGCCCACCCTGGGGGCCATGTGAGAGTCAAGGTTAGAGGCAGGTGAGTGCTGACATTGGCATCAGCCTTGGACACAGGGATTACATTAGCAGGTTCTGCTTTTGGCATCAGGTAGCCCTGGGGAGGCAGGGTATCCTGTTGGCACTGAGCCTGCCCCCAGGTAGACTCTAGGATTAAACACGTTGATACTGAACCTGATGCCAGGAAAACAGTAATAGACCCACTTGTATCAAGAGGGCTCTGAGGGCTGCCTTCAGGACAGCATAAAGCTGTCAGTATAGAGATCCAGAGGCTGGTCCCAGTGGGTTCTGATATGAACATCCCATGGGTGCTGAGATGGATCCTCCATGGGCCTGAGAGGGGGCCCCAGATGGACCCCAGACAGGCTCTGACAGTCGAACAACCCTGCTCAGGTGCCACCTCTAACCTTGGACAAGAACAGGTGGGTGAGGCTGGTCCTCCCGGGCTGGCATCTTGCTAGATCATTCTAGGCTGCTGAGCTCTGAGTCCTTTGGGGCAGGGTCAAAGGGCAGAGAACAAAGCAGAGAGATGAAAGTTGTTTGTTGGTTTTGGAGGGGGAAGAGGAGGGCAAGAGGATTAGCTCCGGGTTGGCAGGTATCAGTCTCGCTAATCCTGATCGCCAGCTGCACCTGGGCTGGCCCCATGCCTGCGTCCGCCTCTTCCCCCTATCCCATGACAAGGAGGGAGGTAGAAATTTGGGGAGTTTGTTTTTCAGTGAGATTGGCACCAGTGAGGGCATTTAGTGTTCAAACAGGCTGCTGCGAGCTGGGCGGCGAGGAGAAGCCCTTGGGGGACAGCAAGGTCAAGTGAATTTGATTTTGATGTTGGCCCCTGGAACATGGAGCGAGAGGTTACTGTCTATCATCATGTGTTGTGTCCCCCGGAGGCAGGCAGGACATGTGCTAGCCTGTGGTGGCCTGAATATGGGCTTCTAGAGTAGTAGCCCATAATCAATTAATAGACTTCAATTTTGTTTATCTGAGATGCAGACAGTTGGGATCATCAGTCCAGATGGAAAGTGAGGTTAATTAGTTCCATTTTACTACAATGGAAAAAAAGTCTGTAAGCCGAGGCCAGGCCATTTCCATCCTCTTTTGGTTAAAATATTGAGTGGTTGGTAAAGTTTTGTATATTATAAAAGTATAAAAAGCACTGAAAAAAGTAAAAACAACAACAACAGACAGTTTAAAGAGTAGCTCGTGGTGAACCCGGGAAAATCTTCTCCTTGCTGGGTCTCAGCGTCCCTTTCAGGACAATGGAATGGTAGTTAAGAGCAAGATGAAGATGTAGATTGGAATCCCCTCTGTGGTTGTGTCACCTCGAACAGATAACCTCACCTCTCTGGACCTCATGGGGCCAATGATGGTAGCCACCTCTTAGTCTCTTATGGTGAGGAATCAGTAGGTTAATGCATTTGAGCTGCATGGTGGTAAGCACTCAGTCAGTGTTATCCGTTCTTACCATCAATCCATGGAATGAAGGCCACAGATAAGAGTTTCTCTAAGCATTCCTCTGTATTTTACATTCTCTGGCACAAAGTCTCGAAAGTTTTTCCTTTGGAAAAGGAGAAAGAGAAAGTTTTGGGGGAACCTTCCTCCCCATTTCTTCCTCCGGACAGCAGAACTGTATTCCCTGGACGTCCCTGGTGGCTCAGTAGTAAAGAATCCGACTGCCGATGCAGGAGACACTGGTTCGATCCCTGGGGTCTAAGAAGACCCCACCCGCTGCAGGGCAGCTAAGCCAGTGCATCACAACTATTGAGCCTGCGCTCTGGAGCCTGAGAGCAACAGCTACTGAAGCCCCCACGCTCTGCAGCAGGAGAAGCCACCATAATCAGAAGGCCGTGCACCGCCACGAAGCGTGGCCCCCGCTCACCGCGACTAGAGAAAGCCCGAGCAGCAATGACGACCCAGCACTACCAAGAAAACAAGATAAAATAAA